ATATTTTAAGGTATATTCCCGATTTAAGGGGTATTGGGTTCTCTGGGAACAGCACCCATCTCCTCTGAAGCTATAAAGCGCTTTCACCCAGGAACCCCCCCTGAACGCTAAGGCCCTAAACGCCGACCCCCTCAACTCTGCTACTGTAACGGTGGCTGCAGAGTTAATACTTAGGTGCTGAGTACCCTAGCCCCAAAAAGGTTAATTTTCAATTATGGTAGTATAAACCCCAAAAGGTTAAAGGTTACCTACTCAGCCACTAAGAATACCTGCAGAATGGGGAGAGATCAGGTGCCTGCAATCGCTGGTTGGCTGGCTGCAGGCGCAAATTGCTGCTGCGAAGCATTAAACCTCTCACACCTACCTACCCACCCACCCACCTACCTACCTACCTGCCTATTTACCCTGCTTGCACCGGTTTTACAACCGTCATCCAAACTTCATTCATAGCAACCCTTGAAGCCCCATGAAGCCCCATGAAGCCCTAAACCCTAAGCCCTAAACCCTAAACCCTAAACCCTAAACCCTAAACTTAAACCCTCAACCCTCGACCCTAAACCCTAAACCCTAAACCCTCAACCCTCGACCCTAAACCCTAAACCCTGAACCCTAGACCCTAAACCCTAACCCCGGAGGGGAGGGGGGGTGGCAGCTTCTTTGGGTCCTCGGTGGTGCCGAAGATCACGGGCTCCACGAAGTTCGCGATGTTGAAATGGAGGAAGAACTGTGCCATGAAGGCCGCGATGACCTGCCATCTTCATAGTAAGACGAAAAAGCAGCAGCAACAATAATAATATTGATAATAATATTATAATAATAATAATAATAATAATAATATAGTGATGATGATAATAATAATAATAATAGTAATAATAAATAATAATAATAATATAATAATAATAATAATAATAATAATAATAATATTGATTGTTCTCCTCTCATTATAGTAAGATGAAAAGGAATAGCGCTGATGTTGACTTCGTTTCTATGAGCCCCGCAATTAAGAAACTCGACCCCCGGAACTCCGTTCTCAACTTAGGGGTTTTTTTGTTTTTTTGAGAGCCCTTTTGATGACTGCAATGCGTCACAAGCCCTTTCGGGCAGGCTAGGTTGGCCAAGTTTTCATGACCCTCGAAATGGCATTATCCTCACCTTCAGTCGTGACCATTGGCTTGCGGTTTACCCTCGTGCCCTTGTGCATCCTCTTGTTCATCACCGTGCCCCGAGTACATTCTGGTAAGTACATCCCCTTCGGCTCCCTCATTGTTGTTGTGCAGGTCCACCTGTCCCACAGCATCAGCTGAGCTCGTCATCATTCCCAGGGAAGTAGCCGAAGTCGCCTCCATTGTCAGACCCGATCCCAAACGTTGGGACTCTGCTTCATCACCAGGTTCGCGCGCTTCCTCCATGTCGACAACAGCGGCCTGCGCAACCATGAGGTCCCAGGTGGTCTCTCCCCACATAGCTTTGACGTAGTCTTCTCCAATTTCCCCCCTTCGGACCCTTTCGTACTGGGCAAGGTAGTTGTCAGTCAAAGTCGAGCTGGAAGGGGACAGCCGCCTCCGTCACGGGACTCTCCTGGCTGACTCCTCCATAGCCATGTTCACTCGCTCCGTGCTCCCAGGGTACTGTGGAAGCCGCTGACCCCGCAGACCCCGCAGAGGGCGGCTCTTCAACCACCCGCACCGCCTTGACCACCACGTCACCGTCCTGCTGCGGCAGCATGATCTTCAGCCTCTTTTCAACGCCCGCTTGGCCCGGGGCAGGCCCAACATGGACCTCCAGGTGACGTCGGAGCCTGCGCTGCCCACTCTGCATTTCGTCATGCAGCGCCCAGTCATCCCAGGCTTGACATCGAGCCGACTCCTCCGCCTGAAAGTGCCACTCCGCCAGCCTTTCCATGTCTGCCTGGTGGGCTTCTTCCTCCTCATCCCGCTCCGCCTCCTGTCTGCACCGCGCATCACGAAGCCGCTGTTCCTCGCTTCTAAGTTCGTCCTGTTCTTGTGCGAGTTGTTCTCCCTCCTCCGTGGCCCCATGGCATTCCTCCACGAAGGCAATTGAGTTCACCGTGGCAGTCCCGTCCAGCGGCTCCCGTGCATCAACCACTTCCCCGCTGTCCTCAACCTCAAAGGTCTCCAAGTCCATGGCAGCACTCTCTTCAGACTGTATTCCAGTCCGAAGTCGATGCCACCACCTGTTCACCCACTCTTCCGCGGTCACCGAAAGAGTCGGGGCCAGCCCAGACAGGACTTCATCCCCTTCAGCAACCAGCAGGGCGTCCAAGGAACACAACATCGGTGATCCTCCATGCACCTCTCGGTAGTTCTTTGCTCTGAGCCGGAGAGCCTCGATCAAGTCGCGGAGGGATTGTCCTTGTCTGCTGGCCTCCTGCAATGCCCACTGGAGGTCCTGAACCACGTTTGCACCGACCTCTTCTCCCTCGGAGCCGGCAGGCAAAGTAACTACCGTCTGCATGAGGGAGGCCGTGTCATCCCGCTCAACTTCCACCTCGACCATGTCCTCGCCTGCATGAGCCAAGGCCTGTGAGCACTCTGCCATCAGCCTGCGAACGAGGTCAACCAGGCCTATGGTCATAATGGCCAGGTCGTGCCGGTCCATGTCCCGCAAGGTATCCACCATGTTGTCTGCCATGCCGCGGGGCACTGCCGGTCCACCCCTCTGCACGGACTCATCCATGTTACCAATGCCATGATCTTCCGCGATGTGCAGGAGTTGTCGCCACGTATCCACCGCTTCCGCCACTGTGAGTCCAGTCGGCGCGGCCGGGTCCACTGGCTTGGGCGCCCGGGGAATCACCCGGCTGCATCTGGCCTCCCTGGCCGTCTGTTCCACCCGGGATCCGCTACTTTCGGCAGCCCCACTTCTACTCCATGACCTCCTTGCCGGTGGCTCCAGAACCCTGGTGCTGGTTGTGACAATCTCTCGCTCCCGCCGATGGCCTGTGTCATACTCACCTCCATGGGACCCACGCCCTCGTCGTACGGGTGACCTGGACCGCCTCGGCTTCCCCCCTCCCATCAGGTTGGCCACATCGTCCTCCTCTGCCCTTTCGGTCACCCGTCGAACATTACGGCCACGACTTCCATCGCTGACATCTTGGTGGGGTTGCAGGCCAAGGGCAACCGACTCCTCATGTTGTCGTTTTTTCCGGCTTGCCAGCCGTGCTCTGTATTCCACGATGCCCTGGTGTTTAAGACGGGCACACTTCTCGATGTCTTCCAACGTGCCATCCAGCCACCCCTGCATGTCCTCGTCCAGCTCGTAGTTGTTGGGGTCCGGCACGCGGTGGGAGAACTTATCCAAGACGTTCTTCACCATGGCCTCCACCCATTTCCGCGAGGCCGTCTCCGTGGCATCCGCAACCGCATTGAAGTGTCGGAGGATACTCCTCGCTGCCTTGCAGGCCTCCCCCGCCTCCCCATTTCGAACCATGTTGTTGAGCATCATTTCAATGTCCGATTGGATGGCCACTGCCTGGGTCCGCCACTCCATGCTGGGCTCGTCATTGTGTTCCTCCCATGTTTTGCAGAGCTGCGTCTGCACCACACTCGTCACTTCGTCCTCCGGGGCCTCCGAGGAAGTGGTAGCTGACGAGTCCGACGAGCTTGATGTCGTGGCAGACAAGCCCGTTTCCTCATCATCAGAGGCGGGCGGCTCCCACCCCGGCGGAGCGTTGATCGGCCTTGGCGGCGGTGGGCCCCGCGGTGGCCAAGAAGTTGCCAAAGTCTCACTTGTTGGGCAGATTTCTTGCTCGTACAGTTCCCAGATCATGTCGACAACCTCAACCATCCACATCGTATCCGTCTCGAGCCCCGCCGGGAGATGGACAACCTCACCCGTGCCAACGGGCTCTTCCCACACCTCTCGCACCATGCGGTTGAAGAAAACCTGAAAGGCATCGCTACCATGACTGTCCACTGCCTGCAGAAAACCTTCCCGAAGCCGACCACCTCTTTGGTTGCGCAGCAGCTCCCGGACTTTACGAAGTTCACGTTTGACCCTATCCCGAGCCCTTGGTGGTGTACCCGACACTGCTCCCTGCATAAAGACCGCGAAGTCAAGCGCCTCTCCATTCCCTCCATGTGCCTTGGTCTCCCTCTGTCCCACCTGCAGGACCTCGCCAAAGTCCCGAATCGCTCCAGGCACGACGGTCCCAGGGTACAACTCCCGCCGATCGGGATGACAACGTCCTCGTTCAGCATCTTCGCCTGCCCCATATGCCACCTGGACAGGAAGACAACGAACTCGTCTCCCATGTTCCCTTGCCAAGGTTTCGGCCTCGATTTGCGGCCCCAGTCGGCCATAGGAGTCGATTGGAGTGGAGACCCCAGAGTCCCTCCAGCGAAGATAACCATGTCCCTCTCCATCTCCTCCATCCGCCTTGACCGCCGTGCGTTCCACCTGCAGAACCCCGGCAATGTCCCGAATCGCACCGGCGGAGTCGTCCCAGGGGGCCAGCTCCCGCCGATCGGGATGACAATGTCCCAGCCCGTCCCCTTGACCTTCTCGATCCTCCTGCTGTCCAGGGCGACAAAATCCCCGTCCATCACGTTCCCGTGCCAACGCGTTCTTCTGCACAAAGTGCGGGATCATGTAATGGCGGGGCTCCAGGGCCATCACCTTCCGCCCTCCATGGGCACTCTCCCTTTGCCATTCATGGTCACTATGACCTGTCACCGGACGCTCCCATGGTGCCTCACGGCCACCCTTCATCTCCTCGAGTTGTAGCGCCGGTCGGTCATAGGAGTCGAATTGAGTTTGAAAATCGCCTGCACCGGTGTGTGCAGGGGCACCTTCGCATATGAAAGAGGCAAAAAGCCTCAGCATGAACCCAAAGGTTCCCCAACCAGGCACCAAGTGCGCCATGGCCGAGTAATGAAAGTGTCGCGGGACCCTGTGTTAGTAGGTCACGAGCCGCAACTGCACATCCAGCCAGTCTTGTTGAACAGCATGTGTACAGAAACGGAAAAACATGCATGTCACTGCCAGTTCAAAAGCTGATACTGCCGAAAGCTCGCCCACGGAATGTCCATGTTGTGCACAAAAACCTGCTCTTTGCCTTGCCATTGAACCCTATCTTGCGCCAGGACCCTCCAGCTAACCCCTGCCGCACGATCCATCACCCTTTCCATGTTCATCAACCTCGGAAAATGGTGAGTATGCTGCAGACCGTCATCTTTTCGCTGCTCCGTTTCCCACCACGATAACGTGCGAAAGGCATCCACTTGCGAGCTAATAGGAGGAACCTCACGTAGCAAACCACGTGCGCGGTGCCCAGAGTAACGCCACCACTTTCTAAGCCATAACGTTCCCCATCGTTCCAGGCCTGCCCCGTGGATTGCAGCCCTCGCGAGCCTGTGTGACCTCTTGTTGTAAGCCTCCCACGACTCATCCCTGTGCTTCCCCAAGCGCATAGCCCAAGAGACAATTTGTTGCTGCGTGGAGTTCAGCAAACCCATAGCCCCCTTGTCCGGCGGCAACGCCGACAAACACCACAAAGCTGATGCACCCACCACCCGTTCGATGACGCGCAGTCGCCCTTTAAGCGGGGTCTTTGCACAAAAGATGTGTCGTGTCGCCCAAAATTTTGCTTTGGCCCGAGCGAGAAGCGGACCAACCAGTTCACACGGACTCATCCCAACCCTCATGTGTAGGCCCATCACTTCCATCTCCGGAGACGCCTCCACCTTGGTCCCTGCTATGTGGATGAACTTAGGCCCCTTCCAATGTGGCGAAACAAGTAGTTGGCATTTGGATCCATTCAGCCGAAGTCCGAACTCCGACAATACAACCATGAACTGTCGAATCCGTGTTTCAAGCCCTTCCGTTCCCCTTCCCCAAAGCAAGGAATCATCCATGTACAACATCTCCTGATAAGAGCATCCTTGGAAAGCTTGTTCTTGCTTATGCCACTGATAGCGGTGCGCTGTTTCGGTAAGACAGAGCTCCGAGATAAGAGCAAAAAACAAAGGGCTTTCAATAGCGCCTTGTTTAATCCCTCGCTGTTGTAACACCGAAGATGTCCCCCAAGGAGTCTGAAGCGTACTGTAGTTTTGCTGAAGGAGCCCCTTCCAGCACTCAAGCTCAGCTGACTCCCCCAGTCGCGTAGCCAGATACTCGAGCACCTTTCTGCGATCAAGAGCATCGAAGGCTTTGGCAATGTCCAACTTGGCAAAACAAACGCCCCTCCTCCATTCACGTTCCAATTCAAGCGTTCTCCAAATTGTAAAGATATAATCTGCAGTTTGCCTTCCCCTGCCTGAGCATTGACTGTGGGACGTCAAGTCAATGGCATGAAGCGCGCGGTTAAGCAGTAGCCGTGAAAACAAGTTGGAAACCCCCGAGCTCATTGAAATCGGTCTCAAATCCTTCGGTTGCATGGGCTGCTGAATCTTAGGAAGAAGCACCATAAGCGGAGTGTTCCATTGCTCCGGAATAGATTGGGTTGCCAGGATCCTCGTAAGAAACTCAAGAAGGTGTTGCTTCCCTCCTTCCACGGAACAAATTCCAGCTAAGAGTTCCTTAGACGTGCCATCCCCACCCACCGCCTTGCCTGCTTGGAGTTGTCCCAATGCCACATCCAGCTCATCCTCGGTGAAAGCCTTGACTTCGCCCTGGAAACCCTTTTGTGGTTGCTGGGGCGGATCCCCTTTGTAAACTCCCTCGAGATGGTCGTGAACAGCTTGGTGCGGGTCCCCTTTTTGAGCCTCTGCAAACCCCTCCGCCCATCCTGTATCCGCCTTCTTCCGAACCGCCCTCAAAGCTGCCCAATCCCCGAGCGATGCCCTTTGTAGTCGTTGGTTCTCCCATTCCTTGCGCGCAGCTTTCCGAAGTTGGCGAACCCGAGTCCATGTAGCGTTGGTCCGCATAAGTCTAGCATGCTGAGCAGCCTGTTTCACCTCAGGAGGATCCACATACGATTCGCCACGTTTGGGCCTAGTGCACTTCTGACCCAGCCGCTCGAGTTCGTGTTGATCAACATGTGTAATCCGGATCACCCCCCCGACCCAAACACGCGGTTTTGTAGAGTGGCGAACATGCTGCCGTCCTCCCCGAGTGCAAAAGGTGGCCTCCAGAATTTCGTGATCTGTGCCAAGAACTTGAAAGGACCCCTCATGCACAACCAACTGGCAACTGTTCAAACCCTTGCACGCCATAACATCAATGATGTGCCCTTTGCGACCCTCCTGCCTTGGCCTGCTCGTGGGTGTGAGGAACTGTAGGGGTCGAGGTTCCACCATCCGAAAACCCCTCCGCATCATCCGACTTTGTAAATCATTGGCTTTTGCATCACGGCCCACCGCATAAACTTCACCTCCCTGCCAGCACCAGCGAATCGGCGCGTTTGCATCACACTGGAAAACAACAGGAGTAGCAGACTTGGGCAAGCGCTCAAAGGTCTCTTCAACCGCCTGTTCGTACTGCGCGAGCGTGCACCCCGGAACGAAGTGCGCCGATCCTACCCAGAGGGTCACCCCTTTTGTCAAGTGTTTGACCTGTATCCAAACCCCTCTGTGACAACAAAGCCGTCGCTGCACTGACCACTCGGTTTCCCTATATGCAACCCCTGGACCTCTCCACGCACCTTGTGCACGATGACTAACAACGCTCCACTTTCCGCACTTTTGCTTTGCCCAACCAGGGTCTCCACGAGGCAGCTCTTGCAAGGTTAGCAGAGCATCATCCGGAAGGCTTGCTTTACACCCTTCTCTGAAGCTCTCGCCCAGATCGGCAATATCACATCCACCGACATTCCATCCAAACACCTTGAACTTGAATTCATCCGAAGACTCTGTACATTGACCCTGCAAAGGAAGTACCGGTTGTACTGAAGCCTGTGGCAAAGCATGATTCCTCCGCCCTGGCTCCTGTCTGTGAAACCATTGTGTCTCGCCACCGTGTCAGTGCTGGTGTTCTGCAAGGACCCTGCGCACCTCCTCGATGGAGCACCCTGTAACCCTGGCCAACCTGGGGATGTTGATCCAATGCTTGCGGACCGTGTTATCGTCGACTGAAATCCCCCTCATGTCTGTGCCCGGTGGCACTGGCAAGCAGGCACTAGAGATCATCCCTTCATCGCACCAGGTCGTGCCCGTCTTGTATTCAAAGTCAAGCAGACCTTCGGAGTTCGCCACCAGAGAGCCGACGACCTTCTTGATCAGCCCCGAGTGGCTGGCGATGATGCGTTGTTCCGGGCTCTTAGAGAAATTGCACCACAGCTTCGCCCCCGTTTTCGTAAGCACTTGGGTGCCGCCAAAGGCCTGCACAAAGCTGAACATGCGGTCACGGTGTCCTTGCTCGGTCTCTCCTTGACGCTTGGGCATTGGAAGCAAGGCAATGCTCCTCCGTGGTCCCGTGCAGAAAGGCTCCGCATCGTGCTGGGCTTCAAGGCGTAACCCCCTAAGCGCCTCCTGTAGATCGGCAAGAATCACTCCACGGCGCGAGTCCTTTGGCCATCCCCCAATGACCAGAGTGTTGCGCCTTTTCTCGTCACCAGGGTCCCTGCCGGCCGCATGTCCCCCAGCCCCCTGAGCAATCTTGTCCGTGACCTCCCTGAGCCCTCGCTCCAAAGCTTCGATCCTTGAATCCGACGCAGAGTGGCGTGACTCCAGGTGCGCAATCTGCTCCTGAACCTCGGCCACCTTGGTTAGCGTGCGGCATTCCAGATCCCCAATGGCCTTGTCCAGCTGTGCCTGTTGCTTCCCCAGAAGATCGTAGCTCTGCTCCCTGAGCATCTCTCGAAGGCTCTCAGTTTCCAGCGTGATCTGAGGAGGATGCCGAGACTCACTTTTGCCACGTTTGCCCCCTCTGGCATCATGATCCCCTTCCTTGCTGCGCTTGGCCGTGGGAGACTCCAGCAGCTCCAAAGCATCATCTGGTCCGGAAGGCACCGGAACCGCCTCTCCCAGCTGCAAAGTCTGCTTGTTCACCCCTTTGGAGTCTCTCCCAGACATGTCGACCGTACCGGTAGCCCTGAATCAGGTAGCTCGAGGAGCCCTGCGCGCTGCCCTTCCGCCAACTTCGCGAAGAACCGGCTGATCGGACCCGCCAACAAGTACCCCTGGCCGAGCTCGCAATCAGCAGCCAAAGAAGCGACCCCCCGGGGGAAGCTCGAGCCTTGAGCCTTGAGCCAACTTAGGGGTTTAGGGTTTAGGGTTTAGGGTACCCGATTCCAAAAACTCCATGACAATCCTTGGCCTGGCTCTTACAAGTAAGATTTAGGTTTAGGGTTTAGGGTTTAGGGTTTAGGGGACTGGTTGGGGATCTAGAGCCTCTCAACAAGGTCCCTCTTATTAAGAGAGCCGTAAGTGGGGTTTGGAAGGGTCCCCCTTGAGGGGGTCTCCGGAAAGCTACCTAGACCCGGACCCCCGCCCCCCCCCCAGTAATCATTCTCCCCTGCCTGGGCCTGAAATCACAGAAGGGGGCGTCGGAGGGTTATGAAAATGAAATCAGCATTAGTAGCAACGATGGTGGTTGTTGGCTTTATTGCTCTTATCACTACAGCAAGGAAGGCTGCGGCGACCTGGAAAGGAATTGAAGGCTTCTTCTGAGGTACAATTTTTCTGTAAAGAACTCTGGAGGTGCCCTATTGCTGTTGGGGTGCAGACCTACACCCTAGACCCTAAATGCTCAACCCTGTACTACAGTCACTATAGTCAATCTGTGCGGATTCTGAAGGAACAAGGCTTGCTAACACCAGAATGCGCCTGTTTTGCAGTCTGAAACCCTCAGCAGGGTTCAGGAACCCTCGAAATCCCGAAATGTCTGGTAGCAACGACCGAGAAGTCTCACAACCTGAGACGCTAGCTCCCTAATTCCTTCACAAGAGTCACACACACACACCCTACAAACCCATATGTATATATATATATATATACAGGCAGACAGACAGACAGACAGACAGACAGACAGACAAATAGATAGATGGATGATGGATGGATAGATAGACAGGCAGGTAGGTAGATACGTAGATTGATAGACAGAAACACCCCAAGAAACCCTCTGTAAAGGGCCTGCGATAAAGTCTTTCTAGCATCAAGGATGGAGATCACGCAAGGCACCAGGGACACGACCTCGGCTTTGCAAATGGTTTAGGGGTTTAGGGTTTAGGAAAATGATGCCACAATGGTGTGAATATGGCAGCATGAGCTTGTCATCGGAGGTTTTTACTAGGCTCCCGCCATCGTTCCTGTATATAGTTTTGCACAGGCTTCATATGTGGTAACTATGTGGTGGTTTCCGAAAATAGGGGACCCTAATATAGTAGCCTAAATAGTAGGATCCCTATTATAAGGACCCCCAAATAATAAGGTACCCCCCTATTTTCGGAAACTCCCAGGTAAAGGCGGCTTTATAAAAACCAAGACAGGACCTTGGCCGGCTCAGAGTCTGTTTTAGGGTTTAGGGTTTAGGGCTTAGGGTTTAGGGTTTAGGGTTTAGGGTTTAGGGTTGAGGGTTGAGGGTTTAGGGTTTAGGGTTTTGGTCTTGGAAGGCTTTGGAGTTCGAGCGCTTAAGTCTATAGCACATGACCCTCTCGGGCTTAAGATTTCAAGGCTTGGGGCTTGAGAGTTTCAAGGTGTAGGGCTCAAGAGCTTCAGGATCTAGCGTATACTGTAACAGGGTTTGGTGTTCTGCAGCGTTCGTGCTCAGATCTCGGCTTAGTCTGGACCACATGGCAACACTAAAATTGGTGTGATACACGTATGCACGTGCGCGTCCTCTGACTACAACTGCTGCCCCAATGCGCACGGGCCTTGCCCACTGCTTCCGGTGTTTCGCTTTCCCCACGACCGTCGTCCTCGTCGTCGTAGCAGTAGTAGCTGTAGTAGCAGCCACTTAGGTACACAAGGCATCCCTTGCGGTCCACTTAAGGACAAAGCATCTTTGTGGCCCGTTTAAGTGCACAAGGCATCCCTTGTGGTGCATTTAAATACACAGGGCATCCCTTGTGGTCGTCCACTTGGGTACACAAGGCATCCCTTGATTTTGAAAGATGTTCATAGGATTTTGAAGGAGTTCCGTAGCTTTTCGAATGATTTCATTCGAAGGATTTCTAAGGTTTCAATGTGTTTGTGACAGAATTCACTGGAATTTTGAAGGATTTCAAACGATTTTCTTGGGATTTCGAAGTTGCTGTCGTCGTCGCCACCATCGCCGTCGTCACAGTGGTATGATGCTGACGAGGATAATGATGGTCATGACTTCTCGTCGGACATAAAAAATTTGTGCATATATATATATATATACATACATACATATATACATATTATATGTGTGCGTGTATGTATGTATACGTACATAACTACATATACATATACATATACATATACATATACATATACATATACATATACATATACATATACATATACATATACATATATATATATATACATACGAGTGTATATGCATATGTATATATGTACATGTATGTGAGTTATGTATTTTTATGTCTATACAGTATGTACTTGGGGTTCAGTATTCACCTTGAGAGTCAAAATAAGGTTTTTTGGTGGATACTACAGTCTAACATAGTGTGATTATATCTGGGACTATCAGGGGCTACGAATATTTCTTATTCCGGCCTGTATATTTCTGATCCTCGCCTGGTGGTGGTTTACAGCTCTACGAAGAAGATGGCCCGGCAGTTCCAGTTTTAGAGCTCTCACATCATCATCAGATAAAAAAATAAACCAGCTTAAAACCAAGGGGAACCCTTCCAAAGTTCCAAAGCCTTGGACAAAACCCCTTCAAAAAACAACATATATAAACAAAAACTTCTACAAATTCCTCACAAAACTCATACATATCCCAAGAGAACCCTTCGGAAACCCTCTACGAAGCCATAAAAGCCCCCCGCAAAACCCTATAAACCCCAAAAGCCCTAATGTAGGGGCCTGAACAATTACCAATACTATTTTGGGGGTCCTTAATATATAGTTATAGTATAATGGGCCCCGAGGCCCTATTCTAATTACTAAGGCCCCTATACTAGACCCTTATAGAACCCTTGTAATAACCCTTATAGTAACCCTTCAAAGGAACCCTATTCTAATTTTTAAGGCCCCAAACCCTAAACCCTAAACCCCAAACCCTAAACCCTAAACCCTAAACCCTAAACCCTAAACCCTGAACCCTAAACCCAAAACCGTAAACCCTAAACCCTATTCTAATTGTTAAGGCCCCAAACGCCCTCTCGGAACTTTCTGACAGGCCCAGGCCGGGCCCCCGATGTTGGGGATGAAGTTCCTAGGCTCGGAAGCTTCAAGCTGAGGGTTCAGGGTTTAGGGCTTAGGGGGTTTAGGGTTTAGGGTTTAGGGGGTTTAGGATTTAGGGGGTTTAGGGTTTAGGGTTTAGGGACTTTAGGGCTCAGGGGGTTTAGGGTTTAGGGTTTATGGGGTTTTGGGTCTGGGGCTTAGGGATTTGGGACTTAGGTTTTAGGGTTTAGGGGGTTTAGGGTTTGGGGTTTAGGGTTTGGGGTCTAGGGTTTAGGGTTTAGGCGGTTTAGAGTTTGGGGTTTAGGGTTTGGGGTTTAGGGTTTGGGGGGTTTACGGTTTAGGGGTTTAGGGTTTAGGGGGGTTTAGGGTTTAGGGTGTAGGGACTCCCACATCCATGAGTTACCACAAGGTCCTGACACATGGTTATGAAAGGCTTTCTGGAGCTGCGAATGGCTCTTGTCAGGTTCAGATGGGTCTTCAACGGGTGCTGTAGGGCTTTCTAGAACTGCTCGTGGCTGATACCCGATTTGTCTGGTGTTTTACGATGTTCCATTAGGGCCAAGAGGCTTACAACAAAAAACCGTAAACCCCAAACCCAACAGAGCTCCGAAGTCTGCTTTGGTTTGGGAATCCCATAGACTTCACGCAACTCCGTGAAACCAACGGGGCCCAGCCAAAACCCTGCAACACGCCCTACAACTACTAGAATCTCTCTCTTCCAGTACCTCTTACCGTGACCTTGTAGTAGCTTGAAAGCAGTGGGCCTTAAAGTGACCAAAGGGAATCAAGGTCTACAGAACAGGTCCACAAAAAGGCGATTAAAGCACACTACTCCAGAAGCCAAAAACAGCTTCCAACAGCCAAGGCTCGCCAGGAAGGTTAGAAGGCCCCAAGCAGCCGGAACTTCCTCGCAAGTTTTCGGGTGCCTTTTTGGTGTTTCGGGTTTGGGGTTTGGGGTTTAGGGTGTAAGGGGGCTGAAAAGAGATAAGAAAAAAAGACCCCAGCAAGAAGATCTATATGAGAATCCTAAGATAAGGGCACAGGGTTTTGCGTTTGAGGTGTAGGTGGGGATTCCAGAGAACCCGAAAGGGAGGAGTTTTTGGACCCTAAACCCTGAATCCCAAACCCTAACCCCCAGACCCTAAACCCCAAACCCAAATCCTGAACCCCCAAACCCTAAACTCTGAACCCTAAACCCTGAATCTGAACCCTCATCTAAGGTTCGCGATGTCGCCCTTGGCTGCGGAGCTTCCGGGCTCTCGAAGATATAGGGCAGAGAGCTCTGGGAAATCGGCGACAACTCGGGTTCTGGGCTTGGGGGTTTAGGGTTTAGAGTTTAGGGCTTGGGGTTCAGGGTTTGGGTTTAGGGCTTAGGATTTAGGGGTTTAGGGTTTAGGGCTTTGGGGTTTGGGGTTTAGGGTTCAGGATTTAGGGTTTAGCGTTGAGGGTTCAGGGTTCAGGGTTCAGGATTTAGGGTTCAGGGTTCAGGGTTCAGGGTTCAGGGTTTAGGGCTTTGGGTTTGGGGCTTGGGGTTGCACTTCAGGGTTTAGCTGTTTAACTGATGGGGCAGGGGGTTTGGGGTTTATGGTGTTGGGGTTTAGGATAGGACTTTAGGTTTCAAGGGGTCACGGACCTGCCTCCGATCTCCAAGACTTCCAAACTGCGCTAACCGGGCCCCTTGAAACCTTAACATGCTTACGGCCCTAAACCCTAAACCC